ATCATACAGTTTCCCATGGGTATACCTCAATCCAAAGCCCACACAGATGAATGCCAAATCGTCCTTAATAAGCCAAAAGCGTTGTTTTTTTTTGTTTTTTCTAAGTGAAACATTCATGTGTGTTTTCCATTTTAAGAATTTGGTAACTCCCTTTGGAAAAGAGCGATGTTAATCACCTTCCTATTTAAAGAAGTTTCTTACAATCACAATAGTTTTCACATAGAAAACTATTTTGTTTAGTTTTTTAAAGCACTTCAACATCTTCATTGTTTCATTTCTGTCTACAAATATCCTTTTTCTTTACATTTTTGGGAATACACAGAAAGGTCTATTTAAATGGGAACTCAACATGAAATGCACTTTAGCAAATATTTAGCACTATAAATGTTCAGTTTTAGCCAGCAAATAAATGTAAAATGTCTCAGATAGGTTATGATACCAAAATTGTAAGGCAAAATGGAATATGTAAATATAAAATATAATTATTAATTTATATTTTGTGTATGATATTTATTTAGCTCAGACTTGGTCAGCTTTAATCACATTTTGTCCAGACGATGCAGTAGTTCACATTCAGCTAGTAATTCCAATCATGTACCATTTCAACTTTTAAAAAATACTAAAAAAAAGAAGGTTGAAATCTATAAAAGTAAAAAAAAAAAAAAAAAAAAAAAAAAAAAAAAAAAAAAAAAAAAAAAAAAAAAAAAAAAAAAAAAAAAAGGAAAGTCAAGAATATTGCAGATAAAAAGTTATGTTCTTTTAAGGGGACAGGTACACAATATTACATGCAAGAGAAAAATGAGAATAAAGTAACAGCTTAATTTTTCAGATATTATGGTCTGTTAAGAATTTCCAATGAAATGCAGCTTCCATGTTTATTTTTTGTGTGTATTTTTTTAACATTAACATTCATCGTAAATGCATTGGATCAATTTTTGAAAATAAACTATAAAGGGTATTGTTAATCTTTGAACATTGTGAGTCTAGTATTTTATGACTTCTCTAATGATCCAACACAAATTCCTGGCAAAAAGGATTTATTATTCTTTTTTTATTTTTATTAACAATCTGGATTTTTTTTATCTTATCATTATCTGATAAATATTGAAATCATTATCTGATAAATATTGAAATCATATAAATTAATTTTATTGCACACAAGTTTTTAGGTTTTTCCAGTCACAAGTGTCTCTGCATTGTGTGTCTTCTTGAGAGCTTCTGCTTAACAAACATGAGCACTGTTTTCACAGTATTAAATTTTAGCCTTTGGACAACTAAAAGAACACGTCCTAATATTGGCAAGGACTTCAATCAGCTGTTGCAGGCCTAGAATGTCATACGGTTTAAGCTTTTTATGGCTGAAGAAGCAACAAGCCGACTCTATGATTGGGCTATTGTTAGTTAAAAGAAAAAACTCAAGTTTAAAGCCAACCAGAGGGGAGGATGTTTAGTAACTTTCTCCAAACTTCTGTGTTTTGTTTTCATTTATTAAACTTTAAAAGAGGTTCTGTTGTGGCCAGCCATCTGGGTATATGCCACCTATATTCATCCTCTCTACACACCTGGGACGCTGACAATGTGGCAGCTTGAAATGTGTGCAAGCCCTCCAGGGCCCATCAGTTCACATGCAGCGCTTAGAGGAAACACATGTGACTCGTGGCATAATTGAGTCAACCAGCAAAAAGCAGTCATTTCAGTCAGCCTTCTGATGCCAATGCTCAGCTCCCTGCAGGAGAACTCAGAGATGTATGGGCTAGGATAGAAAAGAATGGTTCATTATTGTTTTTAAATGTACTTTCTTTAATAATGAGCAGCATGGGTGCCTGGAGGCAAAGGTGAACACCAGTATGCTGAGAGCACCCTGGTGAGAATGTAAGGTATCACGTTGAGAGATTAAAGTGGCTGTAGAGTAAATAGATAGTAGAGGTCGCAGAGAATAATTTGGTACAAAAAGGAGCTGATTTTCACTTTTGGCTTAAGTTAGTTTCTTAATGTAATCAGAAAGGAAGATAATATAGATGTCTCTTTGTCTAAGTCAAGGGACTGATGATTTATCACTCCTTTCAGTAAAGAAATACTAAAAAATGTAAAAATATAAATGTTGTTACTGGTACGTTTATGGGTGAGTTAAGGTTGCTTCTTAATTGAGTGGTTTTAGGGGATCTAACAGAACAGTGCTGAAATGTACTGCAGAAATACTCTGTATTTTCACCTCATGCAACATGAAGTTCAAAAAGTGACCTATTAGACTTTCTATACATGAATTACATGAAAAGTGACATGTTGGAAGTGTTCATTTCTGTAGATTTCCGTCATGCCCTAAAGCTAATTCAAGCCAATAATTCAGTTTCCCAGCAAAGTAGAGTATGGCTTTTCATATAATATTTTTTGTTTAAATAAAGGCTATCTTTGCCCTCTATCAAGGTGCTATTTTCTTGCATTCCCTTTCCTAAAACACCTTATCCTTCCACATAACTTTCTATGAATGTGCTTGAATTAATTTTTCAATGAATTAAGTTCTCAGAAATGACCTTTTGCAGCTTACCCTCCTGGTTGATGGTTTAGCAGTCTGTCTCTTATTTTTACTAACAGAAAAGCTTAACATGTATGATTGCTCATGCAATCATGCTTTTTCAATGTAAGTTGAACTTTAAATTATGAACAAATTAATTAACCTCATACTGATCTTCATTTTAATATAAATCCTACTTTATATGAAAATCATATAACAGCACCAAGGGAGAAGTCAATCTATTTCAAAGACATCTGTTGATATCTGGCAGCAGCTCTTTTGGGTCCTGTAGGTTGCAGAATGTGGCTTTCATTGGTAGAACCTGCTTTGACACAGTCTGTGGGTGTTGATGTGGATTGAAATCTGATATGTTTAGAGGCCAGATAATCACTTGGCCCTTTGCCATTTCCCTTAAACTGTTCCTGAGCAGTTTGGCTGTGTGGGAGGAAACATTGAGGCCACTGACAGGAAGTTTCTGCACAATGGATTAGTGTTCTTACTCAGTCATACTGTTGTGTTGCTCTAATACCTAAATCCATTTTTTTTCCAAAACATCCTTAAATGTAACACTTTATTTCTGTTATTTTGCTTTTTTTTTATTTGTTTTCCAATTTCTAAAGCAATTATTCAAATACTGTCTTGTATATTAATTAATTTATTAATTTATTTTCTTCGCAAATTTTTGAAATACCGGCCCTTTTCACTTAAAAAAAAAAATGCACATGCACAACCCTGTAGTGGCTCCCGAGAGAAAACGCCTATTTAATGCATGTGAGAGCATGCACGAGCCCATTTCTCCTCGTGCACGCTCTGTTTAAAAGTTGCTGTTGCATCACTCATACAAGCTTACCTTCCAAGAGAAGATTTGCAATTTTTTCCACTATGTCAGACTCACCTCGTTAAGTGAAAATGGGATGAGCACATACAGTAGGGCAGCCTTATGTAAACATATCACCAGAATGACTGACAATTAGGAGGACCACTTATTTTAATGATCCACCCAAAAAAAGAACATCCTCAACTATACCTTTAAACCAATAGCACATTCTGCTTCCATAATGAATTGTTGGATATGTGGGATGCACTGTTTCTTAGTTAAATAAGAAATTATGATTTCACATCTACTTGAAACATCAATGGAGAAAACAAGGAAAGATTTGTCTGCATGCAGCTTGTATTCAGACTTTAAGTTTGAGGCCTTGAGTGCTTCGGGCTCCTAAAGAGCATCTTTAGTTTGAGTTTTCTGACAGGAAATCAACAATAATTCTATCTGTTTCATCAGTTTAACCTTTTTTTGCAATTTAGCAATATTTAACACTGTAAACAACTCCATGCCTGTTGTGATATGTTGACAGCGCACTGCAGAGTTAGGTAGGCGCCTTAAGCATTCCTTCCTCTAGGTGCCCAGGAGATGTTGCCTCTTTGATTCTTTCTTCAAATATGTAAGCCAGCACTAAGGGAGCAGATTGTTTGTTCTGGATTTCCTCTGAGACTCCCACCTTGGGCTTAAACAGAGCAGTTGTGATGATTAGCAACAAAGTGTGCTGCCTCACAGAAACCGTCAGGGGAGAATGAAGGATCTAAGGAGTCTTCTTTCTCATATTGCTCCTTCTTTATTGTGAAAAAATAAATTTTCCTCCACCCTTTATTTCTAATTTAAAATGTTGTCCTGCTGCTATATATACTCTGTAAAAAGTCTTTTAGACATGCTTGACGTTACTGGAGTACAAATACGGATGTTATTTTCCTAAATGTTTCCTCGTGTGAAAAGTTTAAAATGTCTTCTTTTCTAGAACCAGAAGGTTTATTTGGGGGTACATTTTGTGGACTGCTATTACTGGGTTCTTGGATTTGTAGGGAGTTGCACTTTTTCTCATTCATCTTGGAAATTTGAAAGATTTAAGTTGATTTTCTACAGACTACTTCCTCAGGCAGTAACCCTATTTTTTGACAATCCTAAATAAATAATGTGGAGAACTTAGTTTTGCAAAATAATTGTTGCTCACCCTTATACAAGACTCCACACAAAGTTCATGCTTTGGGAATCTCCCTCTAAAATTTACCCCAAATGTTTGTTGACTTTTACTTATCTCAGTTTTTCCTACCAATAAACTTTAAGTGAATATACTTAACTCATTTTCAAGGCTCCACTCACCCATTTTTTTTCTAGACCACTTCACAACAATTGTTGAGAAACAGCTCCAGTTGACATGAGAATGCTTTAAGATATTGACAAATTATCTTTTACATCCCATATCAAAGCATATAGACAGATCAATTAGATGCCGTCCAATTTAACGATACCTAGTACAATCAAATTTATTTGATAATATATAGTCATGCAACTTGGTAAATTGTTATCTATATGACCACGCTCATTTAATTTTGGCAGGTCATTAACTTTGCAAATAGCAGCTGCATAGCAGTATACAGTAAACATATTGTCATATGTTTGTTTATTTGTTTTTGTTTGTTTTTTATATTGCAGTAAAAAAAGATGTGAGTGATGAGACTGATGACCGAATGCCCCAATTCAAGAAGAAGACAAAGGAGCTTCGTATCCTGGATGCCAAGACAGCACAGAACCTATGTAAGTAGATGCTGTCATGTAACCCTTATGGTGCATTCACAACAAACATGAGCTTCAGGGTGTCTAGTTTACATGCAAAGTGTAAGGCATGTAGGAGGGCTTGATATCCAGATTTTAGCGTCGAGAGAAGCAAGTTTTACCACTTTTCCAGGATCGGAAGCATTTGAGCATCCAGCGTCAACCATTCAGAAAAGCTGATCCAGGAGCTGTCTTGGTAACAGACACAACATACAAGCTGTGATCCCTGCTTCTGCAGAGCTGTCAGCATAAGTTTAATTAAAATTAATACATATAAAGTGCTTTTAAAGTGCAGTTTTACCTAAAAATATATTTAAAAGATCTTTTTATGTGCCTTTAGCTGCTACAAACAGCAGCAGCAAATCTCTGACAGTATGGCTGGCTTTATAGAGCTTTTACTGGAGAATCCCCTGATTGCCTGCCGGTTTGCAAGGTGTCCAAGTTGAGTTGCTTTTTTGACGCTCAAAAACACATTTTGGTTGAAACACATAATTAGCTTTCTGTTTGGTTCACAAAGTTATTCTTCACAGTGATGTTCTTTTATCTCAGAAGATTTTGAAATTTTTTCCCCTATTGCAGCTGTTAATATTCCCACAAACAGGAAAAGCTGCATGTAGAATAAAATAAAAAAAGGAACAAAAAAAAAGAAAAAAAAACTATTAGATTAATGGTTTCTATGTTAGGATAGTGATGTTTGAGCCTTTTGTGGAAACTTGAGGATTTTTTTGGCAACAATATAGCAGTCAAACTAAGTGCTTACAGCTTTATTCCAAGCCCTCTGTGTCAGATTATGCAAAATTAATTTTTAACAGACTCGACTGCTTGAGCTCCATGTGGGTGTTTTTTAATTCTCATGAAGCCCCAGATAAAGTCTGCTTGAGCTTTATACAGTTCCTGTTAATACTGGATTGTGATATAGAGTTATTAAAAATGAAAGGAAAAGAACTCACAATGTACATCGTAAAGGAAAAGTCTGGTCATGTTAAGAATTCAAACTTCTAAAAAGTACTTTAAATATTAAATTATTACATACGGTTCAATAAATAATTAGTGTTTGTAAGTAAGAGTAATTTCATTTGAATGTGCTTGAGTGGAGACATCAATATTTGTCAAAGAACGCTACTGTCACCTACCAGTTTGTGACGTCACGGTGCGGTATCGGCTGTTGAGCAAGTCCCAATGATGTATCTGGTGTTTGTCCCAACGCGCTATTATACAAATCATCTTGAAAACATTCTTCTACGAAATGTTGGCTACATGTTACGGGTTTTTACTCTGGCCAGAAGTTCAGAGGCAAATCCTCCCTCTTCAAGTTGGCAATCCACCAACATACCCATCCATGGTGGATCATGAATTTGAAAGATGGAATTTTTTTTTTTTTTTTGCCACTTTTACCCGATGTAAACATCCAACTGCCATGCATTTTCAGTTTAACTATAGCTCTTGCAAATTTCAATGCTGAAGTCCTCTCTAAATCTTAAATGATTATTATTATTTTATTGATTGCAGATGTGTCTAGTAGTTCCCATTGAGTTTGCTTTAAAGCGGGGAGAATGGCGCTAGGCTTACCGTACTGTGATGTCACTGAAGGAAGATGTTAGGAGTGAGATGTTACTACAAAAATGGCCACTCCTGGACTCATTGGTTGCGACAAAAATTATTATTTTTATTTTTTTAATGATTAACAATAAATGTATTAAATCACCCCAAACACATTTGTTTTAGGTATAGAAAATGATCCATTGATCGTTCGTTGCTGACTGAACTTTTCCTTTAAAGTGTAGTTGATTTGCTGTTTAACAACTTTTAAAAACACTTTAAATCCAACAACAGCTGTAGAAAATCAAACACTGGGAAATTGTGAAATAATGAAAGAAACTAAATGTGCTACAATAATATGTACAAAATTAGTAAAATCGTAAAATTATTGACACAACCTTTAAATTAGCCTTTTGCTCCAAACTTCACTGTGTATGGGTTGGGTGGCAGGGACTGAAAACTTTCAAAATACCAATATATTTTTTATGTAGTTTTAATTTATATTTCACTCTTATCAGACATTTACCCAGAGGTGTCATGTAACAAAGTACAAATACTTTGTTACCTTACTTAAGTAGAAATTTCGACTATCAATACTTTACTGGAGTAATTATTTTTTAGACTTTTTACTTCTACTCCTTAGATTTTTTTTGCAATTATCTATACGTTCTACTACTAACATTTAAAAAATATACTCTTTAGTTTATTGTTTTTCATTAGGCCTCATTTTCCTTATGGCCTGTTGGTATAAAAAAACAAAAAAAAACATCGAAATAATTTTCTCTATTCAGACAAATTATTTATTTGTATATGGACCCGTTTCAACATAGTTTTCCAAGATGACAACATTTGACACTACTGCCATTAATTAGGATGGATCATCCTGAAGTTATCATCCAGAATTGTAGAAAAAAATTATTTTTATAAGCTAGTGCAGTAAAGCATCCTTCCTTAACATTTTTGCTTGCATTTCTTTTACTTTTAGACTTTAAGTAGTTTAAAAAATGATACTTTTACACTTTTACTCAAGTAAAAAGCTTAAGTTGATACTCTTAACTTCTACAAAAATGTTTTTAAACAGGATTTCTACTTCTAGTTGAGTCATAGACATTGATACTTTTGCATTTAACAGCTTAAAATAATACAGTCGGCTCGGCTTTTCCTATTTGAGGCTCTGCCACAGATCAACCCTCTACCCTCATGGTGACATTGCTGGGCAAAGGTTTTTGAAGACAGATGGACACAATTTACCTGATAGCAGTATGCATAATCATTTTAGCATGATACATAAAGCAACACTGACATGACAATCACTCATACTACCACACCACCCATCCCAGTCACTGAACCTTCACATCAGAATTGAGAAGAGAGCTTACAGGGTTCAGTTGCAGGCATTGAAAATGATTTATGATGCAATAGTGTGTATCAAGGCGACTAAGGAGAGCTATGTTGTTGTGTATGACAAAAGGATTCCCTCCCATTCCCTTTGTGAAGGTGGTAATTTTAACGCTTATTTTCCTTCCGCCAAACTCCAAGCCCATCTGCAGAGACAGTAATCAGACCTGGCACTGACACCTACCAACCGTGTCAAAGACATACACAAGTTCAGTGAAATCATTTGCAAATGCTTACAGTGGCACACATGCAAAAATCAGATATAACCACACAATTCTCTACAGCGACTCATCTAACAATCAGGGTTCCTACACTTTTTGCATTTCTATAGTTTATTTTAAGTTTTAGCAGATTCATCTTTTTTTAGGTGAAAAATAAAGAGATTCTGTTAGTTAGTTGCATCTGTAACTATCAATATCATGCGCCACAAACAAAACCTGCCAAAACAAAAACAGAAAAGTTGACAGATAAATAGATTGGTGGAGAGAGAAAGGGAATCATTAGTGAATTGACAAACAGATTGAAGTACTGTCCATCCCCTCCCCACTTTATAACAGTGTGTTTTAGTCTAATCTAAAGCCAAGATCCCTGTAGAAATTTCTGGTACACATTATTTTTGACTGTAAGTTTTACTGTGTAAAAGTCTTGACATAAATGGTGTTGAAAATCTGATTGTATCACATGAACTGGCAATAATCGGCTTAAAAGCCAGGAAATAATGAAATGAGTGCAATGTGAAGGGATACAAACATGGTCATGTTATCTCCCTACTAATAAATGGCAATGTAGAGTCTCAACATAACATAAAGTAAGTTTCTCTATATATGAAAAGTTTATCACCTAATGTAGTTTGCATTGAAATAAAAATGCTAAGAGGAACAAAAATAAAAACAAAAACAAAACAAAAAAAACTTCTCTGCTTGTTTCATATCAGATAGAGCCATCAGGTCCTGCTGCTACAGTTGTATGGCAGCTGTTGAGTGTCTCTCTTCCAACTCATTACCAAAGCTCCACCTGTGACTTCCACCTGGATACAGCATCAGCTCCAATTTCCAATGTGGCCACCCCACCTGGAGTGTGAAACACCCACCAGGCTTCCCCCCTGAGGCAAAATCATGGTTCCTCTTTCGTATCCACCCAAATAAAAACATGTTGCTCTGAGGGGAGCGCCCTCTTCAGCTGCAACTTATTTTGTTAGGTTTCTGTTTTTGGATCGACTGTTTGAAATAAACAAAAACTGACACCATACAGGTGAATTTTGATGTTTTCCTTTGCAGTTTTTGTCAGAGTAGCACCATTTTTTTTTTCCCAAATGGGAAGTGCAGTTTGTGATCATTTTATCTAAGGAGCGATGAGTGCCAAAATGTCAGTGTGAACCCTGCAGTCTAATAAAAAAGTGAGGAAATGACTCTCTTCTCTCTACATCAAAACAGCAATTTTCTTGGGCTCGTTCCGCCTGCCTTATGAAGAGATCCGGGACATTGTGCTGGAGGTAGACGAGGAAAGACTGAGTGAATCACTCATCCAGGTAAGACTGATGTTCACTGTTGTGCGTTAGCTTTTTTTTTTACACAATGTCTCCCTCTTTCTCTCTCTCTCTCACACTCATATTTATGATTTGTGTTAGACATAGAGTTTTAGGACAAATGAAAAGTGCTCATATGAGAAGAATTTCCATGTCTGGTGAGGAGCTTTGCCACCTATTTTAAACCCGTTTTTGGCTTCCGTCGGTCTTCATATTCTCTTGTGGACAGCAGAGACCCCCCCATTCATGCTCTCATAATGGATGATGAAGGATGAGACTTGGCAAAGACTCCTTAGCTACACCCCCTTCTTTACCTTTTGTCTCTAAACTGTGATTGATGAGCTTCCTAAAGGATTCTTGTTTTTGTTCTTATTTTATTCATAATTTTGTATCAGCCTTAGAAGCCTTTAATTGAAAAGGGGGCGGGGTCATCTGAGGTTAAGCTGCATCACTGGGCAGCATAAAGCCCATGTGTTTCTTCCTTTGTCCTTGTGACTAAAAAAGTCATGTTGTTTTTGTTTGTGTTTTATTCCATCAGTAGGAGGCGTAGACTATGAAACATACATTTAGATTTTTAATAAAATCATGGCAGTGATGCATTGTCCTTCATATTTGTGTGTGTTCTACACACATATTCCTTTATTTTTATTTATTTATTTATTTTACAGCTGCTATGAGGTGTGTTTATATTTCAGATTTCAAATTGAAGTCCTATTAAGTAATTTCAATTCCTATAGATTCTCTATGGAAGTTCTCACGTTGCTTATCAGCACAGACCTGTACGGCAGGTCTATTTCACCGCCCACTGCTTATTTACCAACTCCAGATCAGAATGCAATAAAGAAAATAGTCTAAGGGAAAATATTTGTATTTCCAGACTCTTTCACCCATCCACCCACCTATTAATTCATCCCTCCACACATGCATCCACTCATTCTAAAGTTCCCCACTGAGAGACAAGAAAGGTTATTACTATTCTTGTCTCTGTCATACATGCACATCTAGCCATATGTCCCTGCATCCAGCTCTTCATCCAATCATTCCTCTGTCCGTTTGTGAGTTCCATATTTAAAACTTAGTCATTAAAGACACATTTCTATAAAAATGCAGTTTAAATTTAGATTGATCCTTATAAATAAGGTAAAGAGTGGCAAACAACAAAAAGCCTGCATGTACAAGGACCCCATGCAAGCCACTGAGGGTTGAAGAAGGAATATACAATGAGGTTGAGGGAAATTCAGAAAAGGAAACCCTTGGACTATTCTTTTGAGCTGTGCTAACCTTTAATGGGAATGATAGATAATCTGGCAAAAAGTACAAAGTCTACAGAGATGGCACATCTCTTTCCTGCTTTGCTTTGTTTATGTGAAAGGAAGTTAACATGTTGACCTTTTTCCACCGTCAGTCTTTTTCTGTTGTCTATATCTGCCAGCAGGAGAGTCTTGTCACCAGCCAATCCCCACCTGGCCCCTTGTTGCACACAGCACCAGACAAATAGCCCACTTAATCACGTCCACACCATCAAGCAGCTGCCATTACACAGACATGGTCAGAATACCGATAGCATTTAACGCCACTATATCTGGAGTTTCTGCGTTATAACTGGTGACCAAGTGGATCCAAATGTACTTAGGGACATATTACATATTGATAAAGAACTTTTACAAAAATGAACATGTCAAACATTTATTTGAACAATCCACCATTTAGAGTTAAAATTTTAATGAGAATAGTTTTGTAAGAAATTTATCTTCAAAATAATACAAATTTTTGTTGTTCAAAACAGAATAGATTAGATATGGATTGAAGCGGGAGTCCAAAAGATGAGCGGACCTTTTAAAAAGTTAGAATAAGCCTAATTCAGGTCTGTTTTACTTGTTCAGCCATCTGAAATTTTAAAGATTAACCTATTCTTTATACCCTAATGGCTTCCTGTACTTTATTCTCACCAGCATGTTGGGCAATGTAAGATCCGAGGTATTGTATAATGCTGACTAACCCCAAAACCTAGATCTAGAAACAAGAAAGCACTCTTTATTGCTGGATGCTTCACATAAAGACTGTTTCCACTTTCAAAAAGCCAGTCATGCACTTTGAAAGACTTTATAATGCCGTCTTTCCATCCCCCATTTCCCTCTTTAATAAATGTGAATCAGGGCAGTGAAGCTTCTGACAAAGCAGGAGGCTCGATGGGACTTATAAGACCAAGTGATTGAGTCAGCAAAAGAATGTGGGGGAAAAAAAAAAAGCTAATGTCAGAAAATCCAGAGGGACATAGGAGGCAAGAATGTGTTAGCCAATCAGTGCAGAAGGACCAGCCATGAGAAAAATATCTGCCTTTTTGTACTGATGGCATCTAGAAGTTGTCATGGTTTTTGTTTTTAAGATTTTGACTCCATCGTCATATTTGCTCTATTGGCTCTTAAAATGTCCTCCATTGTACTTTAACTACCATTGGTATTGCATTTGGACTCCAGTGCATACTGTATTATTAAAGCTACTTTGTAATTTTAGAGAGTAAAACAAGCCACCTTAATCTTGTTAGACTTTTATTTGTTATATTTTTCAATTTACATTTCTGGAGATAAAGTAAATATGTCAAATCAACTTTATGACATTTTCCTAAACAGCAAAACACCCTTATAAAATAAGCATTTATGGGCATTTTTAAGATTTATAGTAGGATGGTTCTGTTATGCTTGCAAGCTCCCCCCTGTTTTCCCTAAAAGTGACAATGTTAACCATAACCAATTTTAATCTTTTTTACTCCATTAGACCACAGATCATGTCTCCCAAAACAGGCTTCATTGTTTGTGTGTGCATATCTTTTTAAATGTGCACATGGAGCAATGGTCTCTTTCTTCACTGTGGATAATGACACTGTCTAACCCGGCTTAAGTCATTATTTTCTGAAGGTCTTTTGTCTTTGTTCTGGGGGTTTATACATTACAATAGGGTTATCTCTAAGACACAGAAGCAGACTCATTCCTAAACGGCGCAATGGCCTGTTATTACCCGAATGTTTACAAATCAATGTGTTCCTTTCATGCATCCCGACATTATACTGAAGAATGAACCCGACTTCTTGAGCCACATTAATCTTTTTCTGATGTTTTATATACTTTTTCTTAATTAATGTAAGATGTTCACAAGGCCGTCTGTTAAACCATTAGAGTGCTATTCATCCATGTGTTCGTCCCCATAGATTGTGGGTCTGTGTATCTTCAAATTCTACATATAAAATACACTCTGTACATAAATATTAACCAAAGATTCAGAGGAAACCATTTTGTTTTTTGGGGTTGAGCTTGGCTTAGAAGAACAGAGAACCCTAACCACTAAAAGAGGGAATTGTCAACATCTATAGTAATCATATGAATGAAAATGTTTTAATCCCTTTACATCTTGTGAAAAACTATTCCCATATAACATTATCTTTACTGCATTTCAGTGGCAAAGCATTATTTAGTAATCTTTTGGAATACATTAAGGTGCTTGGTGTGAAGTTTGGCGTCTGAAGCAAAACACAGCATTATGATGCTTTTTGGCAGGAGAGAGAAGCAAAGCTAACAGGGGTAATTTATATTTACACAGAAATTCTGCTAATTGTGCACATAGATTTTCGTAGAAGAATAGGGTTGTAATGAATGTGAATCATAAAGAAAGGAGCTTACGAAAGAAGGGAGGTGGCACATGCCAAAGAAATGCAGTCAAAACCATAGTTAAAACTATAGAGAGTCTCGGAAGGGAAGCAAAGAGACCTCCTGCTGGGTGACACGGTCCTGAGTGTGGGCTCCATCTGCACAGTGCTCATCTACACTCATTACGCTGATTAATCACTCCACACCACCCACTTTCAGCCGCACGCCAATCACCATTTATCCACACAGACAGATGCACACATACAGAGGAGTGTGAATGCATGCCTTGGCAAATATTTAAAGGAACAAAAGTCACTGGCTTGTTAATATTAGTAAGTAGGTGATTGTGTATATATAGTGTTTTTTCAAGTGAAACCTTTGTTTCCAAAACATATAGCATTAAGCTACAGAACACTAAGCTACAGAAATGTAAAGTTGTAATTTTCGCCAATTATAATTACAACATACAAATGCTCCTCAATTAAATTAAAACTGAGTCCTCTAAATATCAAATCTACATTTTTTTTCCTTCTTTTTTTGTCCTCCATATTTATTGCACACTGAATGATCTACATTGGAAAGAAGAAGAAGAAAAAAATTCTAACAGACAAGACACTGGGATGACATATTGTCGCGGTTGGCTTGGTCAGATGGCGCAGCAGGAGCTCTGGAATTTATTTTTGCTTTAAAGTGTTTTCTGTCTCAGCTTGCCATTAAGGCACTAGGGCTAGTAGTGTCCCTTGCAAGAGTGCCATACCCTTGAACTTCATCACATTTTTTAGTATTATTATCACAAACTTTAAGGTTTTGTGGGAATTTTATGTAATAGAAAAAAAAATGTTGCTTATTCTTTTTAAAGGGGGTAAAATATTAGCTGTCTCAATATGATATTGATACATATATTAGAAATAAATTAGAAACAACTTATAGGCTCTGATACTTCTTAGTAAAATCATAAGGAACCAGCCCTCTCTTGACACTTTGTTATGGAGTCCAGATGTGTGTAATCCACACGCCTCTAAAACCCTCCAAGGTTAGAGAACATCAGTGAACAAATAACATCAGGAATAACAAGAAACACAGCAGACAGGTCAAGGATAGGGTTGGGGAGAAATCCAAACCAAGGTTAAGTTATTTAAATAGTATCCCTCTTTTTTTCTTGAATTCAAGAATCAGCAAAGGCTCCCAGAGATGGTTGCACAGCAATGGTGGGAAAACCTGCTGACAGGGTAACAGTGTCATTTCCTACTACGGAGTATTAGGGCCAGGCTAGGGATACTGTATGTTTTCTTTTATTTCGAGATTAAAGTCGTAACATTATGAGAATAAAGTTGTAAAATTACGCGAATAAAGTCACAAATT